CACGTAAGACATATAGAAAGTGGTTTTAAGCTTTCTGACTGTTGTCAATATTTGATTTTAACACATAAATTATATACGAAAACAATGTATTGCAGGTAATAAAACTAACTTGGTTTTTAATAAAAAGAAATCGAATGAAGTCGGTTATTGGTGTAATGGCATCGGGAGTACACGGAGTAATGAATGCATTTTACACCGTAAGATATTGTTTTACTCTAGAAGAACAAAACAGCTGTGTGCCACAATGTTATTCAGTTTTTGGTCTTTCTGTTTCCATTACCAGAAACATTATAAGTGAAATCACATGATTGTGTTTAACGTTACACAATGCAATACATCTCCAGCACACGCAGGCATACACACATAGGGAGATGTTAGCCAGGTGGCATATGGCTAGTAGTAAGCGCCTGATAAGGCAACTCCTGCACATTCCTCAAAAAATGTAAATCTTAATTGTATTAATTGTATATCTATTTACTGTAAAGCGCTTTAGAGTGGCAAATGTTAGCTAGATAGGGCGCTATATCAAATGTTGTATATTATTAACGTTCATCTTTCAATACGACATATTTATCTGTTTGCCATTAAGGGCCATATATCTAATATGCTACCCCTATTCCCAAATCTCATCTTTATCTTTCGTAGATAGATCTTAAGATGACACCGACTATATACACGATTTAATCAAATGTGGGACGTTGAATTTTTATCAGAAGTTTGATAATGCACTAAGGACTGGCACGTGAATGTATTATTCATAACCTACCACGAAACGTGTGCGATCTGGTTTACCTACAATCAATAATGACGGTGTCAATTTCAGTCTTGTGTAACATTGACAAATAGTATATACCCTTCCTGTGTATTTTAAATAAAATCCAAAGAAACCCTAGTCGTTCGTATCGCCTTTTGTACTGACTATTGGGCGGGTAGAATGTGTTAAGTCTAAACGAAGTTTCTTTTTCGCAGAAGCATAAACAACTTACCTAGATATAACTTAGACTACTATTAAGGCAAGTAGCAAGATTATCGTTAAACAGCAAACGAAATTTAGACTCTATCGTCTAATGGGTGAAAACAACATAAGACATTTTGAGTTACTTAACTTTTGATTTAATACAAAAAGTCCAAAGGAGAAGATACGTTTGAGAATAATACCAATCAAAAGGCTGTTTGACATAATCCATACAGGGCAACACTACACCACCGGTGTTTGAAATTTAAATTACATATTATCTCAATTCAAATACAATAGTCTAGTTCAAGCATTCACGTGCCAGATTAGATATAAGTTTGCTTCATCTATCCAACAGCGTATCTGGTTGGAATAAGTTGATCACGTGATGGGGAAATATCGTGTGCTCCAGAATCCCCTCTCTCTAGATAATGAACATGTCTGAAGCAGACTAAAATGGCGCGGAAGCCTGATTATCTTCACTGTTATATATATGTACCTGTTATATCTATGTGAAATAAAATATGTATAGCCCTTGTGGTGGGGAGACATAATTCTTTGTTTCCCCCCATTTTAATCATGTTGTTTCCCTATCACAAGCGCTATACATGTATGATGTTTCAAACGTACATAAAGAGGAGAATGTCACTGATGTAGGCGATGACTAGAGAGGAGGATGTCACTGATGTAGGTGATGACTAGACAGGAGGATGTCACTGTTGTAGGTGATGACTAGAGGTGAGGGTGTCACTGATGTAGGTGGTGACTAGAGAGGAGGATGTCACTGATGGAGGCGATGACTAGAGAGGAGGATGTCACTGACGTAGGTGATGACTAGAGGGGAGGATGTCAATGATGTAGGTGATGACTAGAGGGGAGAATGTCACTGATGTAGGTGATGACTAGCGGGGAGGATGTCACTGATGTAGGTGGTGACGAGGGGGGAGGATGTCACTGATGTAGGCGGTGACTAGAGAGGAGGCTGTCACTGATGTAGGTGATGACTAGCGGGGAGGATGTCACTGATGTAGGTGATGACGAGAGGGGAGGATGTCACTGATGTAGGCGATGCCTAGAGAGGAGGATGTCACTGATGTAGGGGGGGACTAGAGGGGAGGATGTCACTGATGGAGGTGATGACTAGAGGGGAGGATGTCACTGTTGTAGGTGATGACTAGAGGTGAGGGGGTCACTGATGTAGGTGGTGACTAGACAGGGGGATGTCACTGATGTAGGTGATGACTTGAGAGGAGGATGTCACTGATGTAGGCGATGACTAAAGAGGAGGATGTCACTGATGTAGGTGGGGACTAGAGAGGAGGATGTCACTGATGGAGGTGATGACTAGAGGGGAGGATGTTACTGATGTAGGTGATGACTAGAGGGCAGGATGTCACTGATGTAGGTGATGACGAGAGGGGAGGATGTCACTGATGTAGGGGATGACTAGAGGGGAGGATGTCACTGTTGTAGGTGATGACTAGAGGGGAGGATGGCACTGATGTAGGTGGTGACTAGAGAGTAGGATGTCACTGATGTAGGTGATGACTGGGGGGGAGGATGTCACTGATGTAGGCGGTGACTAGAGAGGAGGCTGTCACTGATGTAGGTGATGACTAGAGAGGAGGATGTCACTGTTGTAGGTGATGACTAAAGGGGAGGATGTCACTGATGTAGGTGATGGCTAGAGGGGAGAATGTCACTGATGTAGGGGATGACTGGATAGGAGGATGTCACTGTTGTAGGTGATGACTAAAGGGGAGGATGTCACTGATGTAGGTTGTGACGAGGGAGGAGGATGTCACTGATGTATGTGGTGACTAGAGAGGAGGATGTCACTGTTGTAGGTGATGACTAGAGGTGAGGGTGTCACTGATGTAGGTGATGACTAGAGTGGAGGATGTCGCTGATGTAGGTGGTGACTAGACAGGAGGATGTCACTGATGTAGGTGACGACTAGAGGGGAGGATGTCACTGTTGTAGGTGATGACTAGAGGTGAGGGTGTCGCTGATGTAGGTGGTGACTAGACAGGGGGATGTCACTGATGTAGGTGATGACTAGCGGGGAGGATGTCACTGATGTAGGTGATGGCTAGAGGGGAGAATGTCACTGATGTAGGGGATGACTGGATAGGAGGATGTCACTGTTGTAGGTGATGACTAAAGGGGAGGATGTCACTGATGTAGGTTGTGACGAGGGAGGAGGATGTCACTGATTTAGTTGGTGACTAGAGAGGAGGATGTCACTGTTGTAGGTGATGACTAGAGGTGAGGGGGTCACTGATGTAGGTGGTGACTAGAGGGGAGGATGTCACTGATGTAGGTGGTGACTAGAGAGGAGGATATCAAAAAAAGGTCATAAATTCACATGGGTGCTCAAAGTGTATCTTGCATGTGCAAAGGTAGGAGAATAATAGACTCTCATCTCTTTGTGATGTCATGCCGAAGGTAGGTTTTTTAATTTATCTTGAGGTTTGCCGAATGCGTAACTTCAAAACAAAAATCTTATCTCGACGGTTGAAGTTTTCTGTGTGCATCACACAAGATTGATTGTTTTTTTTTCTTTCTTCAACACTTCCCTTTACCGTAAATATAACATGTACTGATGAGCCGAAGGCACCACGCCATCAGCAAGGACGCATGACACTAATGTGTTACAAACACTACATAAAGTGACATTAGACATTTTCAGAATAGTTTATTAGCACGTGCGTCTTTCCCTTAACGATTAACCTCATATGGCTTTCCATCACGGGAAAGCTCTATTTAGTTGTCTTGTATCACACATTTTTAATATCTTACATTTTTTGACAAAAAATAAGTGACGTTAAGTAAACAATACAAATGACGTCATAACTGCAACAGGGCGACTTCTATAGTAATGCTCTGCGAATAAGCTTTATTTTTATTCTTAAAACAGAATTTGGCTTGATAATTCGAATATGACGTTTCAGTTATTTATTTCCATGGACGTTTTAGATTACGCAATAAAATGTGTTGTAATTTACTAAAATATGAACCGACACATTTGCATGTCTGCTAAGGAGAACACGGGAAAGAAAGAAAAGTTCCCACAAGCTACAAGAGTTCTGCTAACTTGCATAACACGATATACTTGGACTAGCTGAACAAGTTGTGAGGTTAAACATCCCCTACAAATATCAGCACGTACGTATGTAAAACTCAATCACGCCTCTGTTCAGTTGTAAACGACCTTTATTTCACCCGACAAAGTTGTTACTAACTTCTATGAATTTTTTTTCAATTTGTAATTTAACTTATATTAGCTCCTGTAGTTATCGAAGTGTGTGTGTTCTTTAAACTTCGTGTAAATCCCAGTTTTGTATTGCCTCTTAGTTGGGGCATGCTCTTTACCTCATTAACAAAACGATGGAGGTTTACGGGGCCTTTAATTTCTCTCCGACAAGGTTATTGAATAGTTTGGCTATTCAAGAAACTAAAATTCATTCGTCATAGAATGAAATGCATTGTTGATATAAGTCAATGTATACAGATTAAATATGAAGATATATCGTAAATGACATGTTTCCACGCATTTCACATTTCGTATTTGATTTAAACATGGAAATGAACACGTTACCAGTGAACCTAAGTCTACATTGCTGTGTGTTTCTCCTGAGTTTAATCTCTTCAGCGAGTAAATAAATAAACGGCTAGATCTTGACTTTAAATCTAAATAGGTTTATCAAATTACCTAACGATATGAAATGTGTTTGTTTTCGTATTATAATGGGATTAAATACCGTAGTATATATAAGCTATATAACTAATGGCGATTAAATTAAGCTGAAATGTTATTTTTAAAAAAGAAAACACGGGGCATTAACATGCCCTAAAACTGAACAGTAGGCGTTTCATCGAGTCATTACTCGTAATGTACCGACGTATTTAAAATAAACCTTTCTAACGTTTAAAATTATTATCAACCTCGCAACAGTTTTATACATACATACATACATACATACATACATACATACATACATACATACATACCAGATTTACAAAATAATAAAAAAATACTGACCAGAATGTCGAGTGGCTGACCGTGGTCAGTTGTGGCCAGTTTGGCATCTAGGATTCTCTTATGCTGTTTCTCCTTCAAGACTTTGAGTTCGGCTAGACCAGCTAACGATTCCTCGAGCCTTGGGCGTAACCTTGGGGTGGGCTTCTGTATTACCGAAACCCTCAGACCCCCGGGCAGGCGTGTGGGGGAGTGACTCCGGGGCTTAAACTCCGGGGGTTTCCTCGGACTCCTGGTAAATTCAATGATTTTGTCAGGGGACATATCTGTTTGGTCACCGTCCCCAAAGGAGCCACGAGTATTGGAGCCCATTCCCCCTGCCTATTTAGACGGAGTACCATTTGACTGGCCTTTCCACATCAATGACAAGAGATACTGATCGGAGGGTAAATATCCAATTGTTGTTTTATGAATCATAACTACAGACACATAAATATCCACTTTTTCTTTTCAAATTTCAATAGCTGGAGGCAACATCTCTCAAAACGTTCGCTATTATTATAGAACACAGCGGTCTGTCGTCACATCGCTCAATAGCTATATGTTAGATGCAACATTAAACTACATAGGTATACACATACAGGTAAATACACAGGTAATATCCGACCACGGTAGGACATGTACGATTTAGCCACTAAGGCACAGGTAGATTGCAGCATATATATAAAAGTAAAGTCCGTACAGACACTTGTCAATCGCCTGGGTTCCATACAGTTCGCCTTCAATAGTCACGCCCACCAAGCGATAATCGAAGTGGAGACGTATTGTTAGTTTTTTTACATGACAGGCTATACTCGTTACCAGAGAACGTATTGTTAGTTTTTGTACAGGGCAGGCTGCTTGTTACCAGAAAATATTTACTTGAAAAAAGTATTAGAGAAAAACTTAGACAACCAAAGAAATTGGTTGTATTTGATTTTCATAAAAATTATGTTTACCACTATTTTTTGGTACATATCTAGTTAAATTTTAATAACATTAAGAAAATGATATTTAACTGTATACCAGGATTATGTAGAGCATGTCTAGATCTGTTATCACCCAAATGGAGAAACATGTACAAGTTAATTGATTTTCACGTTATAAACGAATGAGCCGAAAGGAAACTCAACGTTCAGAATGATAATAATGAATAGCAATACAAATAACAAATAATATCTTCTATACGTGTGCATGATAAAGATATTTGTACCGAAAACGTCCTGAAAAGTTTTTTGTATGGCTGTCATATTAGTTCAATTATCAAAAACTTCATACATACAGAAATATATATTTCGATTTTGTTTGTTTGTAAAACTTGTCTAGAGAAATTCAAGCTAACTAATCTTTTAACACATTTCTGTACGTCATTTCACATATGGTGGCGACTTCACGCTAGAGTAAAATCGAAAGCATTTCACAGTTGGAACACATAAACACTCAAAAAAATACTTAATGGATACTTACATTCGGTTTACTAAGTTTATTTAGTATTCATTGTCCAAGCTGACCAAATCCATTCTTGACCAACACCTGGTTTTCCATGTTGGCATTGGACATTACGCAAAATGGTGTGTAAGGCCGTTCGACTTACGTGAAATATACACGACTAACAAAAGAAAGAAAAAACAGTGATCTGCCCGTGGCCCCGGGGTGGGACTGTTGCCACACATGTAGACTAGTCTCCTGTAACACAGTCAGGCATTCGGTAATAGCAATCAATGTATGTTTATTTTCAAAACGTAATACTTTTTGGCATCATACACCGCTCTCTTGAACATACTAACAGCGTCATTTATTGACAAATTAGCAACAAGGGGCCTAGGGGCCTAAATAGCTCACCTGCTATGGTTTCCTTTATGTGAAACAGATAGATTCAAATAATATATTTAATTTTGTGTGAATGGTCATATTGCATAACTGTAGTTTTTTTTAGCATTTATCATAGCACTTGTCGTCCTACTGCAATTTAGAAATTAGTATATGTTTAATTAATCTCAAAATGTATGCTCCGTCTTCTTAATCTGGCAATTAATGTGCATTAATAGAATTTGCCAAATGCCTTTGCTTGATTAAGTTTTCCCACGTACCTCTGGCGCAAGGATCTAGCCGAACCTACTCAAGAAGTAGGATTTTGAAAATTTGATTAAACTTTCCCTATTGAGCCCTGCCTCTCTTTCCCCATTGTACACATCCTTCATCTTATACAGCGTTTAGTACCCTTAGTCTAGTTATGCTCCACACCAAATTTGGTCAAAATCCATGCAGCCACGGACGGACGGACGACGGACGCCGCACCACATCTTTGCTAGCCAAGGGTTACGATACGGGACTAGTTAGGAGTTAGGGCCAGAGGATAAATAATCTTGTTCCTGTGGTAGGGCCAGGGGATAAATAATCTTGTTCCTGTGGATAGGGCCAGGGGATAAATTCTCTTGTTCCTGTGGTAGGGCCAGGGGATAAATGCTCTTGTTCCTGTGGTAGGGCCAGAGGATACTAAGACTTGTCCAATGGTAAGGGTCAGCCGATAATAATAATAATAGACTTTATTTAAATTCGATAACACATGTGGTCGACATAAAATATACAATATTTACAGCATGAGTAAAAAAAGATACATAGCATACATGCACACTTGAAATACATTAGGTTATAAGATAGTAGCATATCACAGGTAAGATTATAGTATCTCAGGTTTGGAAAGTCAAGAATATGTCACATGTGTAATTATAAAACTAGTGAGTTGATTAAATGTCATGCAAAGCATAATTTCTCAGGATGCATTTTAGGAATTAAGAGGCACATATTGTGTCTAATAAACATATATACCAATATGGCCAATTGTAAAAATTGACCAAATATATGCTAATATAGCATGAGCTAAGACCAAAACAGATATTGCAGAACATAAAAATTAATTTTTGAAAATGTAATTAAACCTAAAATTATTACACATGTGACGTAGGCATAGGAAAACAGTATAAAACCTTAAAAGACACATATAATTATCTAAATATTTCCAATACTTATTGGGTTCCTTTTTTACATGTTTCAAGGACATTTTTATAGAATTCAGGTTTGGCTCTTTGTACCAATGTTGTTCCACGGTTTCTCCATTTTTTGTACAATTCAAAATTTGATTTTTTTTATGGTTATCTCTAATTTTAATTGATGTGGTGTGGATAGGTCATCATTCCACCATTCTGGAATGGTTTTATGTTCACTCTTTTTTCTTTAAAAGGTGCATTTTTGTTCAGGATGTCAGTGAAGGTCTGATTGCAAGACTGGATTATCTCATTTACATCCCTTGGTACTTTCACATCAGGAATATCCCAATGGGCTGACTTTAATTCCTCATGGAACACATTTTCGTCAAAACTCTAAGTACACCTGTAACTTATGGTGTTAATTACTGCTGTGTTTTTATAGACTGATATTTTGATGGCATACACTGGATAGTGGTCTCTTACAATTTGACTAGTGTTGCACATAAATAGGTCTCCAGGTAAGTTGGTCCAGATATGGTCAATACAGCTGGAAGTAGTTCCGGTAGTTTTACGAGAAACACTGACAATGTTATAAAGTCCACAGGTCTCCATGTCGGAGCAGAGAGATTTATAAGCTGGTGATGTATTAATTAGTGCATTAATATTAAAGTCCCCCATGATCACAATGGTTACATTTTCAGAAGAAACCTCATCAAGCATAGCTTCCATCTTCTCAAACCAATCACTGTAGGGAAACGATACCTGGACTAGTATAGTTAGTAGGAGGTAAGGCTCAGATGCAACGAGTTCGAACTAGGAACATTCAAATTTTAGACTGTTTCTTTACTGACCAACTGAGCAAAAACGCACAGAAAAATACATGCTCTTTTAGTATTTAGCAACGAAATATTCAAATATGGCACTGTCCCGAGTTGTTATATATATGAATATATTTATGATTGTAAATATTTTATTTTGTCAAGCCAATCGTTGCATAAGACATTTTTACATTGATTATGATACAAATGACCAGTGACCTTTGGACTCAACAAAATACACAACAACAGTTGTGCTGGACATGTTGAGATGTGACCCCTGTAAGCTCTTAACTCTGGGTGTCCGTACTACTGCCAAACGTGACGAGGTCGTGCTATTTACCAGGGCCGACGTAATCACCCTTCAGTCCGAGCTGTTATTTTACAAAATCCGGAATCTTTTAATGAGGGGTCAGTATTTAGTATCACCGAAATCCTACAGGTTAATGAGTCGTTAACATTCCTTGTCAATGGATTCCACAGGTAACAAAAACACCGTACTGTATCAAACATCGACTTAATTGCTTGTCAAAAGGTCAGCAGAATATCGTCAAACTGTAGGGAAACTTTCTACCAGTTTGTCAATAGATCAGCAGAATATCGTCAAACTGCAGGGAAACTTTCTACCAGTTTGTCAACACGTCAGCAGGATATTGCCATATTGCAGGGAAACTTTCTACTAGTTTGTCAACACGTCAGCAGGATATTGCCATACTGCAGGGAAACTTTCTACCAGTTTGTCAATACGTCAAACTGCAGGGAAACTTTCTACCAGTTTGTTCATACGTCAGCAGAATATCGTCAAACTGTAGGGAAACTTTCTACCAGTTTGTCGATAAGTCAGCAGAATATCGTCAAACTGCAGGGAAACTTTCTACCAGTTTGTCGATAAGTCAGCAGAATATCGTCAAACTGCAGGGAAACTTTCTACCAGTTTGTCGATAAGTCAGCAGAATATCGTCAAACTGCAGGGAAACTTTCTACCAGTTTGTCGATAAGTCAGCAGAATATCGTCAAACTGCAGGGAAACTTTCTACCAGTTTGTCGATAAGTCAGCAGAATATCGTCAAACTGCAGGGAAACTTTCTACCAGTTTGTCGATAAGTCAGCAGAATATCGTCAAACTGCAGGGAAACTTTCTACCAGTTTGTCGATAAGTCAGCAGAATATCGTCAAACTGCAGGGAAACTTTCTACCAGTTTGTCGATAAGTCAGCAGAATATCGTCAAACTGTAGGGAAAACATCTAAGAGAACGTTACATTCAATGTAGTTTGTTCCAACATTACTCATTGAAACCCAACATGTATAAGGGGGGTCTTACAACCGGTACATCCGTTTTCAAATGTAACATTTTGGGTATAAATCCTGGCGGGCCTGCAAATGTTTATGTGGGCCTTGCAAGGCTTTGTCAAGGCTCGCCTGAAAGCAGCATCAGATTACTAGGTTCGACCAAATTGCATAAACGAACACAATTGGTCCAACCGGTTCTATCGTTTGGATCGCGATAAACGAAAGCGGCCAAGATAAGTTAGGGTGCAAGACGACACGAGTTATCTCTCTTCGATGGTATGATACAACCTAATTGAAATTGGGACCGATATGTTCAAAACTGTTGCCATTTTATACATCTCTTGTTTATTTTTCATTGTACTAGCAGAAAAGCATTTCAGACTTTGACACATTGTAAATCTGTGATAACATCCGGTGTTCTTGGTATAAAAGGATAAATGTCGGCAACTCTAATGTTCATGCACACGACGGACTGGCACTTTTCAATCTTACATGATGGGGGCTTAATCTGAACAACATGAAACGTCAATCAACTCTTAACTAAAGTTATCTTGAACTTATGAGTCGGGGCAACCTCCTATCCATGTTTTACTCAGTTGCATATTGTTTAAAGTAGCATATGGCAGTCTGTAAAAGTTAATGCAAGGCACACATCGAAGATGTATGTCTCGAGTATGTCCGTTAAGATTTTATTTATATACATAAATGGATCAAACTATTCTTCTCTCGTCCACAAGGTGCTGCACACTTGAGACTTCAATTTTATTATGGCATATTCAATGGGTACAGAGAGCGGAGGTGAGCGTAAGCCTAGCTATCAAGGATGGGTGCGAGTCTTTGAGGGAAATCCATCACAATTACATCGGTCTGAATGGAGAATGTCCTCGTCTTTCAGGTGTTCCATCAGTTGGCTACAAATTATATGCTCAATCAGTTTGCACAGAACGCAGGCTAGCGACACTGGCCTATAGTTAGCTGCGATAACGTAGCTTTCTGACGACGAGAGATTGTTTTTATATATTGCAGAGGAGGCCGGGTATTAATATTAGTACTAGTCTATAATATGCTGGTTCTGTTCTGTTCCCCTTCCTAAATATTGGAGTGACACTTGCCTTCCTCCAGATCGTGGGTAGGTGCTGCTGCTGCAAAGACTGATTGAGAGAGTGGTGACAATTGGGCCGAGTTCGAACGCAAGTCTCTCGAGGAAATTTGAATACAACAAAATCAAGAAATCCGATATAATTTCACTGCTCTAGATTTATAGAGACAAATAAAATTGATCTGTTTTGAAGATCTATTTTGCTTTGAAAGCCCTTGTGTTTTGCTTTGATCAGTCCCTTATATCAATCCTGGTAGCACGACTGTAGTATATTTTTCATGCCAAACGATTCCTTATATAGTTATGGCGTGGGGTTCTCTGTCTTTTCAAGATGTTTTGCCCAGGAACTTGTTATCAAGTGTGGTTTTAGACTCTGGAAGCTGTGCATATTCAGCCCTTCTTAATGAGCAATTGTATAGATGGTGAGGCAAAACTCCTGGTCAATTCCAATATCCTCAGTGTGTTCACATCTTTATGCCCAGCAATTGTATATATGCTTATGGGTTGGGATCTCAAAAGTTGCAAAGTTATGACCAAGGGACTAAGCCTCTAGGGGTGTGACCAGACCCTGGTGCCATCATTGTAGCATATCTGTATTTGTCTTTTTGTACTTTATAACCAAATGTAGTTGATATCGATCTTCTTCCAGAGAAGAAGACACTTAACCCAGTATTACCAAATTATCCATTTGGCCCCGCCCCTGGGAGAACAGCCCGTCTATTCCTAGTTTTGAATCCCTACCATCTAAGAAAGATTCCAATAGGTCATTTTGCCTTGACCCCAGGGGGTTAAATCCATAGAATTCATTTTTGGTTTACGGAGAATGTCATACAATAAGCCGTCTAAACAGAGACTTTTTCCTGGTGATCAAAAAACCTGTTCATATGGTTTTAAATTGTGCCCAAAATTGCATTGACCATTAAGCTGAACTATGACAGCAGGGGTGCTTAATGTGAAGTTTCAAAAACAACTTTGGTTGAACAGCGAAGGAACCTGCTCTAATAACTGATAGCGATATAGTTTAGTTGATTATTTAGTAACTGGATATTAGGTTTATTGTTTTGATCATCGTTGTAACTTCTATGTATGGATAAAATCTAAATATACATTTTTAATGTTAAAACCCTCATCTCAATTACATGAATGGTAAAGTGTTAAAATGTCGAGTGTAAATTAAAACAACCCTCGTGCATCTTCATTAGTTCTATGTAAGTTTGAACTTTTCTCTCTCTTATTTTGCTGGATTGATAGTATTGTCAACAGTAAATGCATTTTGTAGTAACGTTTGATAAAATCTTCAAGTACGTCTAGATTTAACAAGGACCTTTCAAAGTTAAAGCTTTGTTTGACCCATTAATTAATATATATACAGAAGATAAGACTTTTTAGATGGATGGAATATGAACGGATGGACAGATTGGGTACAAGCCTATTGTCCCTCGGGAACAAATGAGGGCACAAGGTGTGGGTTAACGAGTGCTTTATTTGGACACTTTTTTCTCTCTCAAAAATAATTCGTATTGTGTCTGTTTTCACACCACAGGGCGAAACATGAAGGTCTGTTAATCTCACTTCCAAGTTTAATTCTCTGTTAATAAGATGATCTATCATTCCGAATCGTAATTATATTCGTATTTGTCTTTGTTTGCTAACATTTTCCCATGACACTTGTATACAGCCTCATTTTTAAGGTGGAAGGGTTGTCTTACAAAACCAATTGGCCAAATTTCAAATATAACAGAATCTAGAAAAGAAAAGAAATCATTTTTATATTAAGCTTTCCAGTTATATTTTTGAAAAATCTCTTTGACAACCTCATTGGAGCATGTGCCCTTATTACGTAAAAATAAGGTAGGCATCACTATTAAACACAATTATCTATTGTTACACCCTCGAGAAATAAAACATCTGAAGACATCAAATACAAATTTATTAACCCATCATATAACACATCTTTTAACCGTGAGCACTAAAATTGGTTCTGTAAAAGTCATCCAAATGTCCATTTCCATCATCAGCTATGATCCATATGGAGGAAACGGCTGGATTTCATAACCTTGCACATTCCTTCAAAGTGCTTCCCTGCTGTTACACTTGGTGACTTCGCCCGTTGGTGTCCTTGTCTTAGCCAACCAATAAAAAGTCTTTACCTTCTAGAAAACATTGCCACTATTTCAGCTTCGAAAACAACTTCGGTGCAACCTGTAAAATAGAAAAATAAATCCATTGACATTTGGAAGGGCCTAAATGGTTTTCTGGCCAAAGCAGGGTAGAAGTTAAATGGTATTTAGACAATTTATCAATGATTTGAAACGGATGAAGTAAAGCTTTTCAAAACCCTGAAGAATTTAACCTTTATCCCACATTCACATCATCATACCAAGATATTTTCTTTGTGGTGATGATCATTTTCTATGGAATTATGATTGGGTTGAAGGGACCATGACGGCAATTCTACTACTTTTATGATGTTTACCCGGTATATGTTTTATACAGCATAACTTCTTAAAACTACATTTTTCATAACATCCACCAAATGAAGAATAATTTATAAACCATAATTATAAAAGTTATCCAAATTTACTGCATGTGTTTTGATTAAAAATCTCATTGATATAAATGTTTTATTGTGCAAAGTTTAAAAGGTAAAAAGAAATCTGTCAAAAAGATCTGAAAATTACTGAACTGGAAGCTAAGTACACCCGTACAAGACTAATTATCAATGAACTGTACACAATTTCTATGCTAAACAATGCATGTAATGAACCATTAACAAGCTAATAAAACAATATATACTCTTCACCAAGACATCCCTACTAATAGACATGCATTCCTTACACCAAGACATCCCCAGTATCAGAGATCTACATGTATTCCCTATACCAAGAACCAAGATATCCCCAGTATCAGAGATATATTCCCTACACCAAGACATCCCCAGTATCGGTGATATATTCCCTACATCAAGACATCACCAGTATCAGAGATATATTCTCTTCACCAAGACATCCCTAATATCAGAGATATATTCCCTACACCAAGATATCCCCAGTATCGGTGATATATTCCCTACATCAAGACATCACCAGTATCAGATATATATTCTCTTCACCAAGACATCCCAAATATCAGAGATATATTTCCTACACCAAGATATCCCCAGTATCAGAGATATATTCTCTTCACCAAGACATCCCCAATATCAGAGATATATTCCCTACACCAAGATATCCCCAGTATCGGTGATAAATTCCCTACATCAAGACATCACCAGTATCAGAGATATATTCTCTTCACCAAGACATCCCCAATATCAGAGATATATTCCCTACACAAAGACATCCCCAGTATCGGTGATATATTCCCTTCACTAAAACATCCCCAGTATCAGAGATATATTCCCTTCATTAACACATCCCCAGTATCAGAGATCTACATGTATTCCCTATACCAAGAACCAAGACATCCCCAGTAACAGATATATTTCCTACACCAAGACATCCCAGGTATCAGAGATATATTCCCTTCACTAAAACATCCCCAGCATCAGAGATATATTCTCTTCACTAAAACACCCCCAGTAACAGATATATTTCCTACACCAAGACATCCCCAGTAACAGATATATTCCCTTCACTAAAACATCCTCAGTATCACAGATATATTCCCTACACAAAGACATCCCCAGTAACAGAAATATTTCCTACAATAAAACATCCCCAGTAACAGAAATATATTCCCTACACCAAGACATCCCCAGTATCAGAGATATATTCTATACACCAAGACATCCCCAGTATCAGAGATATATTCTCTACACCAAGACATCCCAAGTATCAGAGATATATTCCCTACACAAAGACATCCCCAGTAACAGAGAAATATTCCCTTCACTAAAACATCCCCAGTAACAGATGTATTCCCTACACCAAGACATCCCGAGTATCAGAGAAATATTCCCTACACCAAGACATCCCCAGTATCAGAGATATATTCCCTACAACAAGACATCCCTTATATCAGAGATATATACATAAAGCTACTACACTAAGACAACCTTAGGAGAGAATATACTGGTTTTGAAAACTACAATGTAACTATTCTCATCCTAAAGGTTGAACCTCTAAGTTGGCTGTCACCTTAAACTTACACAATGATCTATGCAGTGAATCAAATTACTGAATTCTTCATGACAGGTTTCCTCTGTCTGTTCTGCACTTTCCACCCTCTTGGTGCATTCAATAAGTTTTAAATCCAATGTTTGACAAGCAGGAGTTTGTTTGCACTGTTCTTTCATATCATCATGTGGGTCCTAGAAATAAACAAGAAAACAGTCTTAAGGACAATATTATTAAGCTAACTGTATGAATTTATGTCCAAATAAGTTACTCAAAAGCCAAGTAACAATAACTCATTCACCCCTGAAGACACATTTGAACTCTTCCAATTCAGAGGTTGGTATATGGTTTAGTATGGAATTTCAGGGGTGAATGAGATAATTTGATGATCAATTCTGAACGAGTTGAGACAACAAAGCTGAAATTTAGGACTAAATATTCTGCTTTACCGATACATCTAATACATAAATACAAACTTAGTACATACATATTGCGTCTTTTCGTATTGCAGAGTTATCTGCTCTTGTGAGCAGGTATTGATTGTTACTTCATTTGTTTGTGAGAGTAACGTCATCAGTTTTTGAGAAAACAACGCAACTTTCTCACACAAACCAATGACATAACAATCAATACCTGCTCACAAGAGAAGATAACTCTGCAATATGCAAAGACGGAATAATCATACTCCGATTAAACTGATTGTGTAGTCACTTCGAGAAGTGTGTATATACATTAGCTGTAAAAACTGAAAAGAACTTTAAAAGATGCCGTATTTCCAATTAAATTGATCCACTCTGCAATAAGAGCTGTGGCTAACCAGAGATGTCTGCGAGCTTGAAGCTGATATTGATCAACATCAATTACATTACATTCCATACGAGTACAATTGAGTGTTGCACACCTGCTGATAATGAAAAAGGAAGTTTTATAAGTTTGTTTGGTGAATTGGAGTAATCAAGAAGTTTCTAAAACAGATTATCCTTCAGTGGAAATGTCATTAATATTTGGTCACTAACTAATTTTACTTGTATAAAATATGGTTTTTCTATTTAGGCCAAATAAAAATATATGTGTTTCCCGTTTCGAGACCGACCCTATTTTTTCATGCCGACCCTAATGCATTTTATTGGTTTTTCACAGTCACTGTTATGCATTTATTAGCTGTTTAATCGAACAAAGTGTACACATATAACTTGTTATGCATTTTATTAGTGTGGTCAGTGTCAGAGTTTTATCTGAAGATACAGTGTAGTAGCTAAGTAGCGGTAGATAATTGGGGGTTATGATATAGGTCGTTGGGATCTGTAGATAAGTGCAACTGTCTGTAGTCTAGGTGGGGTAGTCCAGTCTGTGATGTCGGTGTTTGTGCCTTCAGCTGATGCTGACCATTAGAGTCAAATTTAGCTGGATTTATAGCAAGTTTTTAACAGGATTTCAGCTACATCAACAATTTTAATGAATCAACATTTTTATTGTACAATATTTATGTAGCAAGATTTTGCTAAGGGACAGATAGTAAGGTAGTTCAGCTTGGTGGTCGAAGGAGGAGAAGAGAGTTGTGTTGGGGAATTGAGTTAAAGAGTCTTGAGGAAGGTACTGTAAATTACAGTTGGTTATTCCATAAACATTTAGGTGGGTCAAATAATAATTTACTTCAATGTGTCGTTTAAGCCTGCGCAACACAAAAACGGTGAATGCATTTGTGTATTAATTTTACATGAATCAAATTACATATTTGGTGCCTTTAATACTTTTTTTAACAATAACATATTTTCAACATTCACGGAGGTAATCAGAGTTTCCTCACCAGAACAAAAAAAAGTTTTTCTTACCTTAGTAGATTATCTAACCACCTTTTTTTTGGAGCCGAAAAAGGAAACACATATATTTTTATTTGGCCTTACAAAATGCTCATAAGTGTGCTGTATATGGGTCATTGAGAAATCATGAATTATGTACATGTATGACTAATGTTATTTTAAGTAACCATGGCCACTTCATTCTTTGCATTTATAACCATGTCAAATTTCACACATTTGCACATCTACATTTCACAGCGTATCATAAAATTTCAAAAATAATAAACTTTGGATTCTGAGATAAGGGCTGTACTGTACCCCCAGTCTACTTTTTGGTAACATTGACCATGACCTAAGAAATTATTTTAAACCTCTTTTGCACATCTACATTTCACAGTGTATACGTGTATCATCATGTCTAATTTCTGAAACCTTGACCTCGATGGACGGACAGATGAACAATTGGGAGAACAAAGATACAGGGTCCTAATAAATTTTACAAGTGAAAACATCCATCTTGCCATAGCCAATAATAGGGGGATGGCATTATTATCATGGGTACAAGTTTTTTTGCAATATGAAAATGGAAAATGAAACATGGCGATATAATTTTAAAATACCACTGTTTAGCATTAAATGTGAAGAGGTGATGATGGACAGACATACTTTTTGATATGTCAGTTCCCTATTCAGACAGTCAGTACAGTGATCCATGCATCAGAAGAATCGTCTTGAGCAATGAATAACAGGTGAACATGTTTGGTCCTTTTTATACTGTATTCACCTAATGTACCTGTATGTCCAGCACCTGTGCGAATACATCATGTCATTAATAAATAACTACGAAACTATTGTGAAGCAATCCTACAATATTACCGGTACATACAACTATATCTTCTTCATCCTCCTCCTCTTCTTCCTCAGCTGCAGGCTGTGAAGAAAGTAAAATCATATTTAACATTAGTGGGAAATGTAGAAAAATATGCATATATGTCTGAAAAGCAGTGATAGGCAATTGGTTTAAAATCATAATTAATAAATCAGTTTGCAAACGTAAGTAATCGCTTGATGATAATCGTATGAGTTATTATTTTATAGGACTGAATACTAAATCAATTAGCAATACTATTGTAACATCAACAGAATTGTTAACTAAACATTAAGTTTCCTTCTTTTACAACCAAATTTTACACAGTTTAAGGGTCTCTTTTCAACATTAATCGTATGATTAAGATCCACAAGCAAAATAACTTTCAATGCATTGTATACATTGGACACTTGAGTTCACTAATGAACCAATTATATGGAATTTGCAATCGATGATTTAATTGGAAAAAAGATTATCAATTTTCGATTATAATTGATCAAATTTTTTTTAAATTTTTTTTGTGTATAACTATATGCAATCTATACTTCTACTACTTTTTCTCCAAAAGAAAAAAATCTCCCACTATTGTTTTTATTTTCGTTTCCACAAAATGAGCAACAACAAAATTTGGATTTGAGCAATCCACACAAGATAATTCCAGATCAGTTTACCATTATCTTACTACAATTCAGCTGATTAAAATTATACATTTAGTCACAGAAATGCTTGACAAATGCACCTGTGACAAATGTTACCGAGAGCCATTGTACTTTTTTTACATAAAGATGGCACCTTCAGTATCTTTTATTGGAATATGTTGAAAGAATGACACCCTTTTTTGTTCATAATGTTTAAAAGAACTTAATGTGTTTTCATTTCACTTTATTCCACATTTCAGTAACAAAATTATTACTCAAATGGGTAACTGTTCCCCAAATGCAGAATTATTACCCATACGAGCCGTTGTCAGGTCAGGGAAAATCACCAACTTGCGTATAATATGCAAACTTGCCTATTATACGCGATTAGGGGAATGGATTTGTTACTTAAAATAGCCAAAATCACTTTAATCTTAGCTTTTTCAATTTGTTAATCCAAGTCGCATTTATTCAGTCATGAAACATAATACAAATGCAATAATAAACTTTATTTGTATGTGGGAAAGTACTAAAAACGCTTTCAGTAAACATCTTTTAGCAAAATATTGTTTACCTTGTTGTAAATTAATGCAATTTTTAATATCTTGCAAAAGTCATTGTTAAAGCGATTTGGATTATTTTTAGTAACAAAATATTGTTTAACTTGTTGTAAATTAATGCGATTTTTAATATCTTGCAAAAGTCATTGTTAAAGCGATTCGAGTTATTTTTAGAAACAAATCCATACTCCAACTGGCGTATAATAGGCGAGTTTCCCCAACCTGCTGAATGTGAGAAGATGCGTTCGAGTTCTAGTGCATACCTTTTCCATCTCCTTTAGCTTTCGTTACAAATGTCGGAAATACACATATGCTATACTGATATGGGGCACACACACATTGACATACACGTGTATGTTTATGTTTGCTACGACCCATATCAGTTTAGCATGTGAATTTTAGACATTCGTAACGAACCCCTGTGGCATAATCGAGAAAAGGGGGTCCCCGGGTATGCACAATTTTGCCTAAAAATATTTTCATTACTCATCAGTAATGCAAATCAGTTTTGAAGGGTATGCAGATTAATAGGATTTTCATACAAGGCCTACTGCAGTAACGAGAGAACTGCTTTACAACGTGACTTTGCTGTTGACATTGAGTTTAGTCGTTGACAATAATGTTTGATTTTCTATGTCCTAGCATGCACACAAGAATGATCTATGAAGAAAGTGTTGTTAATTGAATTTCTGGACACTTAGCAACTGTGAAATCTTTAGAAGATCATCAACAATCAGTAACACACCTCCTCTTCGGGATCGCCAGCTAGTACGAGTTCGTCACCTAGCGCCATGTTTGATGTTGCCCAGAATGCAATTTTTCCGGAAGCAGATAAGTGCGCGATATTTTAATTTTACACCAAGATATTTTGTTCCGCTCGGCAGTCAATCAGAAAGTACTTTCTATTCACTATGTTAACAGTCGTAAAACTTTTCACTGGCACAGATATCTACGGTGGCTGATTTAGGACATCCAAAGAATATTTTTATCTCGTTATATAACGACTTAACATATCGTTTATATAAATAACGAGTTAGTATCTCATGTCAAAAACGAGATAAACTAACGCGTTAGCAGTTCACGCGTTAAAACATCATTTAACGCGTTAAACAAGGATTTAACGCGTTAAACAACAATTTAACGCGTTAAAAATAGTCTTAACGCGTTAAATGCTTTCACGTTAAATATATACTTTTATCGCGTTAAACAATCAAAAATATTTTAACGCGATAAAATGCTTCCCAAGTTTAACGCGTTAAATGTTGTACTTATTTTTTTAACGCGTTAAAGTGTCATAAATGAATGAACCAATCACATGTGCAGTTGGAGAAGACGGTGGATTTTTTGCTCTTTCAGATGTATAAAATGTATCTGTATATAACGTAAGTAGATGACATTGGTTACTATTTCATAAAACTAGTTTGTTAACTGAAAAACGGCTAACTTTTTGTTAACAAATAACTAGCAGTACATTGAAGACAATGTAATTGGTACATATATTGTTCAAGGTCATGAGGTTGAAGCTCACGGTCACTAGATACAAATGAAACATGGCAAGAATCTGAATTTTCGAATTTCCATAAAAACGGTACACTTTTTGTATAAACAAATATATAAGAAAGCTATAGGAAGTAATGCAAGGAATATTTCCGCAAAGTTTCTATGTCACAGGTTCAAAGGTCAAGGTCGTGGACACTTGGGGAGACTGAAATTGCAAAGTTCCTAAAAAACAGTAAACATACACCGACACTCTGGAAGACTAAAAATGCAAATTTTCCTAAAAATGGTACACTTTCTGTATAAACATAAACTAGTCGCAAAAAGTAATACGAAAAAAATGTTTTGGCAAAGTTTCGAGGTCATAGAGGTTAAAGTTAAATGTCACTGACACTTCAAAAGACAAAAAATGCCCAATTTCTCATTAACGGTTCACCTTTTGTATACACTTCCACATTTGCAAAATTGTAGAACATACTATTTCAGCCAAGTTGTAAGGTCACGTGGTTAAAATTTGTTTGCTGGTCGAGTGCCCAAAATGGAACACTTCATCATATACTATTAGAAAGTCAGTTTATGAAAATGTCTTGACAGCATTTTAATAATTTTCTTCATTAAACAAACTTTTGACAATTTCTGACAAATTTTACTCATTTATTCCCTAACAATTCATTTGATCATATAGTTTTCCATGTTAAGAAATATGATCGAAAATGTATGAACAGTTGTTTCCCTGGATTAGGTGATCTTCTTTCATCGCAAGGGTGTAGGGTGAGGGTACCCAAAATGGAACTGTACCCAAAATGGAATACTTTGATAAAAAAAATACACAGGAATTGTTATGCAATAAGATATAATAGTATGTATTCTAAATCAAAATTTAAATAGTTTTATGCATTTTGAACAAATAGCATCTGCCTACTTCTTAAACATTGCTCATAAACTCAATTGTTTTACATCCACCCAAGCACCTATAAGTTGCATTTTGGTTTCACAATGCTGATATGCAAGGACGCATTTGATTGGTTGTCAAGTTTAACGCGTTAGCATTTAACGCGATAAAATATTTTTTGCCGCAATAAACATGTATTTAACGCGTTAAAAGCGAACGCGTTAGGGTTTAACGCGATAAATGTGTATATTTAACGTGATAGCATTTAACGCGTTAAAACTATATTTAACGCGTTAAATTCTTGTTTAACGCGTTAAATGCTAACGCGTTGGTTTATCTCGTTTGTGACATGAACGGCCTTTCATAGTATCTCCACGGAATTATATTGTTATCTATAAGTCCGTGGTATCTCGTTATAACGAGTTAGTATGTCGTTAATGTAACAGGTTCAATTTGTCATATAAGTAAATGTTATAATTGTGTACAAATGTCCATTTGTATGAGCCCAGGGTGTTTTGTGTATGTGTTTGTCCATTTGCTGGTTTTACATGCTACAGGGTGTCGTTATAACGAGTTACAATATCATTATAACGACTTCGTATCTCGTTTAACGACTTCGTATCTCGTTATAACGACTTAGTGTCTCGTTATAACGAAATATCGTTATAACGAGATACTAAGTCGTTATGACAAGATACTAACTCGTTATAACGAGATGTTAAGTCGTTATAACGAGATAATAACTCGTTATAGGGCCATGTGAGCTTATGCGGTGGTGCAGTGTTCGTTGTCCGTCCGTCTGTCGTCCGTCCGGCGTCATCTTTTTACTCTTGTAAATACAATAAAATTTGTTGAAATCAAACTTTTTAATTTAAACAACTTCTGAATAACCAAGAGGCCCAGGGTGATGAAATTTGACCAGAAGCAAGCTGGGATAAAGGGCTGCAAGTTCGTTCAAACAAATGACCTTTGCCGATTTTGAAGGTCACAGGGGTCAAATATGTTAAAATCTTTCAACAACTTCTCCTGAATAACCTGAGGGCACCGGCTGATGATATTTGGCCAGGGACATGCTTGGAGGAAGGGCTACCTAGTTTGTTCAATTGAATGACCTTGACTTATATTCAAGGTCACAGGGGGTCAAATATGTTTAAAACTTTAAAACAACTTCTTCTGAATAACCAGAAGGCCCAGCAAGATGGTAAATGGGCCAGAAGCATGCTTGGATGAAGGGCTACCAAGTTTGTTCAAATGAATGACCTTGTCGTATATTCAAGGTCACGTGGGTCAAATATGTTTAAAATCCTAAAATGACTTCTTCTGAATAACCAGAAGGCCTAAGGTGTTGATATTTTGCCAGTCGCATGCTTGGATGAATAACCTTGACTTAAATTCAAGGTCACAGTGGTCAAATATGTTAAAATCTCCCAACAACTTCTTATGAATAACCAGAAGGTACAGGATAATGATGTTTGACCTGTAACATGCTGGGGTAAAGGGCTACTAAGTTTGTTCAAATGTATATTCAAGTTCCCCGGGGTCAAATATGTTTGAAACCTTGAAACTACTTCTTCTGAATATCAAAAAGGAGCAGGATGATGATATATGGTCCATAGCATGTTTGGATAAATGATCTTGACCTATATTTAAGGTCACAGAGGTCAAATATGATTAAAAAAATTAAACGACTTCTCCTTAATTACCATGAGGCCCAGGGTGTTGATATTTGGCCAGTAGCATGCTTAGATAAAGGGCCATTAAGTTTGTTCATTTGAATGACCTTGGTCCACGTTCAAGGTCACATTTGGTCAAATATGTAACATTTGTGACGTCATCAGGCCTTCCGTGGTTTTACTCAAAGATGCAGGCAGTTTCGCCACCATCGAACATTTCACTAATTTGCAAATAATGTAAGTGTTTAAATGTAACATTTTACATGTTGATGTTACACAAGTCGTACTGATACGAACAGCTCCAAATGCGTGTGTGTAACAATGATTAAATTCAAATTGGTTTTTCCTAGTTGTGATAGTTAATATTTGGGATCGGCCTAGATGAGGTCAATTTACAAACATCGCAATAAAGACTCAGTCCTGAACAAATAAAAACTTCCAAATCGGTGCCCAAAATTATATTTTTCGTCGGGTCCGGATGANCCGCGTCAACGGGAAATATCTGAAAAAATTAAAACGATATTTGGGCTTGAAACTTTATTCAACACGCTGTCCCAGGTGTTGTAAAAGTACTTATTTTTTCATGTAAAAATCAGTCTTTTGTAACTGTCGGTCTCTACGTACAGCCACCATGCGATATTGTACAACAATGCTTTCAGGCCGACAACAAATTATTTTCAAATACAAATCTAGAACATTTCTAGATGGTGTTTTAATTAAAGTGTCGTTAGATTGCTGAATGTGAGACGCAAACAATACTTTTTAAAAGATACTGGTTTTTTTTTCTTTCTAAACTATACACATTGCATGAAGATGGAAAATGAATTATCAAATCTTTCCGAGCGTCATTTCCATAAACAAGAATTAGGTCGTCAGTACATTGTATGTACCAAAGTACACTTGTAGAAAAACAATTTATTTGCATTGACGGCTCAGTCGACCATAAAACTGCAATTACCCTTGAGATATCGGTATTTTCAATTTGTATGTTATGCATTTACACTAAAACACAACCAATAAGCCTCAGATTTAATGAGTTAAGTTGACGAGATGTCCGTCGCACAGACCAAATTTTTAAGATTCGTTGTGTTACAAAATATTTCATAAATGTTTTAATAATATAACTTTTCCCCTCTTATACCTCTTCTCATCAAAATGTTTGAAGGCTTTAACTGTGTTGAAAACTATGGTGACGGTATTTACGTCACATCTTATGTATTATGACGTCATATGGCATTTTCGTCACAGGGTGGCGAATTTTGATGCATGGCGAATTTGCCTGCACTCACGTTATTAACCTCAAAATTACCTAATCTCAATAAAGAAAGTTCAAAGGAGATAATATTTGCCAACTTGCATCCTGAGATGAAGGGCTGTAAAATTTGTTCATTGCAATGACCTTGTTTGACTCTCAAGGTCACAGGGGTCAAATACTTAAACATCTTTTCACTTGTTCTTTTGTATGCTTAATAGTCATAAGTACTGATATTTTGCCTATTGCTTTACTTTAGACCACTTTTAAGGTTACAAGAGTGAAATTAATACCAGGTGAGCGATGCAGGCCCGTTTGGCCTCTTGTTCATATTTCATCATTGTATTCCAATATTGTTCACTTCTAACTAAGGCCACACGCTCCATTTTTAGCCATTTTTTGCCCCGTTTCGGAACACATTTGCCAAAATATACCAGTCTCCACTAAATTTTTGTGCACTTCTAGTTACCAAATACCCGCGAAATACGACCTCGTCAGTCGGTA